GCCAACTGGGAACACTATAAAAGCATTTTGACGACCCTAAAAAATAAGTATGTCCCTACAATTCTTGTAAAAAGTGACAACAATGTTCTGTGGTTTAACAAACATCTCAAAGCTCTCCTGAATAGAAGAAAGCGCCTGTACAAAATGGCCAAACAAACCAATCCCCCGAATAATGGGACCGTTACTACCAGTATGAAAAACTGTATCTCAAAGATTTAGACGAAGCGAAAACTGTTTTTTTTTCTTCCGATTTGCTCACAATACTGCGTACTAACCACAGAAAAGTTTGGAGCACCTTATCGGCCAAAGCTCTACAAAACCACATTCAGCTCATTACAGATGTTGATGACCCTATCAAATCCTACCAGTGGGCAACCACCCTTAATAATTATTTCTCCTCTGTTTTCACTGTCACTTCCATGTATAGCGGTAAATGCATAGCTTACTCTTGTTCAAAAGTTGTGCTCGATGTCCAGATAACCACGGATGACACGTGCAAACTGATAAACAGCCTTAAAATAGCTTCACCAGCAGGCTGCGACGACATTGTTAGTAAGGATCTTAAAGATACCATCGCAGTCATCAGTAAAATACTTAGCTTGATATTCAAGAAGTCTGCAAGATTCAGTCGTTCCCAACAATTGCAAAATAGGCGAAGTTGACCCAATTTTTAAATCTGGAAAAAACATTTTCCACCAGTTACAGATATATTTCTCTTACTAGTATCCCAGTATCTTACTAGTATCTCTAACATATCTTAGCTTTCAATTTATTGGCACATCTTGAATCAGTAAATTTTTTCTACCCACAACAGCATGCATGTTTTCCGGAAGAACCGTGTCTGTGAAACTCAATTGGCAGAATTTACGCATGATTTTGCACTTCACTGTTTGAACAAGCTCCTTCAAATAGACGCAATATTTCTGATTTTTTTCCGAAGCATTCGACAGGGCTCCTCATACACATTTACTCATAAAGCTCGCTTCTCTAGGTATTGGTCAAAACTTAATTCGTTGGCTGGAACATTTTCTGAAAAGTCGTGTTCAATTCACTACCGCCAATAACAGTAACTCTCGATTCACGAGCGGAAGATCTGGCGTTCTACAAAGTGCAGGGTTATCCACATTCCTGTTTCTAATCTATATCAATGACCGTCCCGCTAACATAAAATTAAAACTACGCCTTTTTGCTCATGATTTCATTCCTTATAACCTTATACACAGCTCGGATGACATCATTGCTCTGCAACATGACTTAGACATTAATGCTACATGGTTTAAAGAGTGATCTATGCCTTTCAACTTATCGAAATGTAAACTATATTCTCACGAAAACTCACTACCATAAACCATACATACCATACAAATTCACGTCCAATTGGCTTAGCCGAAAATTACTACTAAGGAGTGTACCTAACACAATCATTTTATTGAGTATTACATATCCAAACAATCTATTCTCAGGCATCACGTACACCTGGTTATTCGTGCCGAAATCAGAAATCTGCATCCGCTGACATCAAGAAACTGGCTCACCTTACATATGTGCGACCGAAGCTCGAGTACATGTCATTCATTTGGCACCCTTCGCAATCTCATATCTTACAAAAGAAATCAAAGCAGTGCGAACCCCGCAGTGCGTTTTCTATCATCTCAATACCCACCATACATTATTAAGTGCCTAAAATCCACTCTATCACTTCCAGCTCTTGAATCACGTCGCATAAATTCTCGTCTTTGCTTGCTCCATTGCTTCTTTTATCAGTCACCCACAAGACATACGCTTCTTATTCCACCTGTCCGAACATCATCGAGATTGGCTCACACATGTTCCATTGCACACATTAATGTTCGCACAACAAAGATTAATCACTCTTTTTTCCCACACGCTATCACCTTATGGAACACGCTACCAAACGTCATTGCTTACAGTTTAGATCGAGAAAAACTTCGCGAAAAAATAACCTGCCATTTTGTTCAACAATAGATGCATACCATTGCATGATGAATTGTCTTGTGCACGCAATGCTGAATGGGTTTCTCTTCTTTGTTTTTGTCACTAATTACATTTATTTACTTTTGCAAAACCTGCATATCTCATATTTTTGCAAATATGCTCCTACAAAAAGATGTTGAATTTTTCCTTGTGTACGTTCCCGATGCAACATTTATTTGTTCTCTTCATTTCTGTTTGGTTTGATGCTTTACCAATCATTGTATTATACTGTTTAGAAACCTGTGTATGCCACCCCTCCTCCTCCTTATGTAACGCCTTCGGGTCCTTAAGGTGTAATAAATGAAATGAAATGAAATGTGACCTTTCGCCATGAGGTGACCTGGAGGTGGAAAAATGTTTAAGTACCAGTGACGCCGGTGGCGGCGGGATTTATCTTCATACTAAACATCAAATGCTAAGGGTTTCTTTGCCTATGGCAGGCACTTTTCGGCGTCTATCTATCTATCTATCTATCTATCTATCTATCTATCTATCTATCTATCTATCTATCTATCTATCTATCTATCTATCTATCTATCTATCTATCTATCTATCTATCTATCTATCTATCTATCTATCTATCTATCTATCTATCTATCTATCTATCTATCTGTCTATCTATCTATCTATCTATCTATCTATCTATCTATCTATCTATCTATCTATCTATCTCGCCAGCTACGTCTGGGTGCCCTGGTGATCATCGTCTTAACTGGGGTGAACTAAAATCGGTAGGAAGGGGTAAGATGGTTTGACTATTAAGGCTTGCTGTTCATGAAATCAATAATGTCACAATCTCGTCGCGTGCATAATCGAACACATTCCGCTAAACAGTGGCATACCCATGGGCGTGTATGTGCCATTGTTGTTTTGGTATGTTACACAAGTGATTGACCGTTGACATGTGCCCAGGAAGGGGGACCACAGACATTAGTAATGTAATGCGTGATCGTTAAGAAAAACTGAAATCGGCAATGGTGAACCGAGAAACATAAGGGTCTGAGCAGGTATTAAACACAACCATTTTGCGTGACAGTCAAATATTCTACCACAGAGTCACGACACGTTTTCCTACTGCTTCAGAAAATCTCACTATTCAGGTGCAACGTTGGTGGAACAACAATTGTGGTTGCAATGCTGGCTATCCAATTTTATAATACCCCTGTCACACGGGCACTTAAAAGGCTTTTAAGTGAGCGGTCTTTTTCCGAAAAGGAGTTCCTGACAGCAGACACACGGCACAGAGCGAACTCATTTTAGGAAGCAATCTTTTTCGTAAACGGCGTTCGTCGATCTCTTTTACGGCTCCGAATGAGTAGCCTCGAAACCAGTGGGCGCCAGCAATTTTCGAGTGGTGGGAAAAAAGAGCGAATGCTTATTTTTCTGTCACCAAAACTCTTTGTAAAAACTAATTTCATATCCTGCAGAAAGTGTAATGAACTCTTTTAATGGTTATTTCCTTTGCTACTCTCGTAAGCAGCTACAACGCGTCGGCAATATCACGTGGTGACGCTCGGTCTTGCGCTGCTTTATCCTCTCCTTGGCGGCTTTTGCAGCGTCTGCCTAGCTTTCCAGAGCGAGAAGGCAGGCCGTGAGGCTTGCGATCCTCGCTTTTTCTCCCGTACGGTCGCCCATAACGTGTCGAGAGCAGTCGAAAGCAGCGAAAAACAAATACGGTAAATAAAAACACAGTGGTGCCAGACGGACATGTGCACGTCGCTAGTTATGGGAATGCTTCCTTATCTAGTGCAAAAAACTTTCACATTGGTGTTTCTTCATCTCTTATTCTTAAGTTTATTTGAAGAAACGAGCAGTGCAACAAGTCTTTAATTTGTACATCGTGATACATTGTTTAATTTTCATTGCTTCTCTTTTAACTGCTAGCGCCACGCTTTCGCTATAGCGTCTTCGAACGAAAACACTAAAAGGAGATCGTTGCTGCCGTGTGTCTGCGCCGCAAACACCTCTTTGTTAAAAGTCTTTGAACTTCGTAAAAGACCGCTTACTTAAAAGACTTCTTGCGCGCCCGTGTGACACAGGTATAAGACATTTCATGCGTACTCCTATGATACAGCCGTTTCATCGGGTAACATCAGTTGTGTTTAGATGCCACCCACCTAAGTTCCTTTATGTAGCAGTGGGCAGGGCTGACATGCTCGCGAGCACAAGCGTTACATATTAGCTTGTCGCTTCTCGTGTTGCTAATACTAATGTTGCTGCTGGCATCGTCGCGCATGTGTAAACAACAGGCTATACAAAACATGTGTGACTGCTCAACATATGTTTGGGCAAACAAGATTTATACACATTAAGCGTCTTTGCTTACGAGTCATTCTATAATCAAAATAACAGCACTGTGAAATTCCCGCCGCACGTTTTGCACGACAAGCATCAATTCCTAAGATACGTGGTATCTCCCGATTTTTTTTTATAGTTGATTAACAAACGGACGTAAAGTAGAAAAATGATTTTTAAAACAGTTTGTGACTGTCGCATGGGAAAAAAATAGCGGCAATGTGGCTCACCAATCCATCAATTCACTGGTGCTCATGCGTTTGGCTCGGTCATGCGTTCACTGTGGTTGTGGGCGCAGCAATAGAATTCTTGGGGATAATTAAAATACCGGCGGCATTTCTCCCTGCATTGTCAGTCTTGATTTCTTTAATTTCTACCGCACAGTGCCAAGGCGTTCACGAGTGACTGCCAAGATTCTTCTCCTGTTCACGCATTGAGGTGCCACTCCAGATGCCTAGTAACAAATTACCTAACCCGACACAACTGGGCACTGCTTGCCTCACGCACCATGAAATCGTACCTGCACCCACAGTTAAGCCTCTTCTATCGGTGCTTTTCATATGGTTTGTAGAAATCGTTCATGCTAAAGCCCAATGCAGCTTTGTGTTTCCATTTTTTTCCAAGTGCTTACACATGTTTACTCTTGTCCTTTTAAAAGGAAGGTTCGAGTACAGTTTTGTGAAAGCAGTAAACAGGTTCTGAGGGACCTCTTGATTGTTTGATAACGTTCAAGTGTTTCATCGTTAAGTTACGTCATAAGGGTGCAACGGGTGTAGAGTTGTATGATTTAGTAGTCCTTCCCCGCCACTTTGTAACCAACTTTACCGCCCAAACGCAGACAAAGACAGCGTTGAGGGCCGTCATCAAATGAAGCAGTCCGGTGTAGTCACCGTGGTTGTCCCTGTAGTAGCCTGCAAGTAAAAAAAAGAGTGCAACATCAGTGCCATTAATAACAGCATAGGCTCTGATTATTGCTATCAAAAATAAACGATAGGTAGAAGCACGTTAGGAGAAGTATGAATGACTAGGGTTCCTTGCGTTGTTCACTGTGAGGCAATTTGAGTGTAATTTGAATTAAAATGCGTCCTGACAAGCCAGGATTCACCTTTTTGGCATTTATTGTAGTCACTTGAGCAGGGGTGTACAAACCAATTGTTTAGATGCTAGCTGGGCTTGGCACATAGCACAAAATAGAAAGAAATAAGAGCGATTTCGACGCCGAGACAACCATCGAATAGCAAAGCTGTCACTTTGTTACTCATGCGCGAGGCTTTAAGCAGCGATGCTAGAGGATTCTAGACTCCAGATCGGTGGAGCTAGGTTGTTTGTATGTTGCTTTTAGGTTGTTGCTAAGCTATAGATCTGTGGCCATAGCCAGCCACAGATAGGACACAGATGTCTAAGCTCTGGAGGGGAAAAGCCCACACGTGAAATCGTGGTATGTGCATTTGCACATGCGATATATTTACGGGCAAGCTATCATTCGTGCCACGCACCCATCACTCCAGATTCCTCTCGAAGCCCCCGTTGCCGTTCCAGTTCCCTAGTATTCTGTCATTGTACGTGCTGTTCAAGCACTTTATGGAGATGCTTCAGCGAAGATTAAGCGTACAGAGACGATGTTCATTACTATTTTAACCCCGACAGTTCGGTAAAGCGTTTCCCAAGTGCTGAATACATCAGTCAAGAAGTTTCAAGCGTAGTTCGCCGCTTGCCTGTTACCTTCCTAAATTTTAGTGGACCAGTGGTTAGCAGAGGGATTTGCGCAATTTCCGACACACATAACCATTTATCTTGATGATAGCTTTTATATACACATCTGTAGGCACCAACATTTTCGACGTCAACGTTTAAGCAGCTTGTCTCTGAAAAATTAACAGAGAATGTTCATAGAGGTCTATAGTAGATAAAATATCTTTCTCGCAGGGTCTTGTCACCACCTCCTCGGCTCGTTGTATGACTTGAAGCTCGAAGGTGCGAAAGTTAACTGCCCACTAAGTCTGCCGGAAATTTCAGCTTGTTGACAGCCGTCAAAATTGCCATTTTCTTCTGTTCGGTCACGTAAGGTTTTGAAATATTAGCAGAATACTGTGTAGTTTTTTTACAGCAAAAGCAAGTGTGCTTGCAGTTGTTATCCTATGAGTGTTTCGAATGGGCTTTGAAAGGCCGCTCTTCTAGCTTTCGCGCAGGCCTGGAGGTTGTTTTTTGTTCAGAGATTTCCGACATGAAGTCCGTAACCACATCGCACAGAATTAGAAAAAAAAACAAGTACAGATGACACAGTGCATGGGGCTCTAACCCGGATAGGCTGGGTGCCAGCTCACTATTACCCCACTGAGCCATGCATGCCGCTGCTTGGGACTTGTTGGCAAAGTTCATATGGGCAGGCTTGATGTCGGGAAAGCAATCGCCTTTATACGACTTATAAAACGTTTTAAAACAGCGAAAGAACAACCAGTCGTCGCACAATGCGCATAGCGTAACGAGTGCGTCGTTGAATACTCCGAGCTATCAGAAAAGCTTGTTCTTGCTCAGCCAATAATTGTGGCGCATACCCACTTCAGGCATATTTCTTCAGCCACAACATGAAGAATTGGCACAAAATTCCTTGCTAGTGTTCAGCGGATACCACGCTACTAAAAAAAAATGACGAAAAATAGCATAGCGAATGCCAGCCTACTAGCCTAAAATTTTTATTAATACTGCCGTAGTGGGTACCAAGCAAATGTGCTTGCATCAATTACCCTATGAGTGTTTAGAAAAGTCGTCTGAAAGGCCGCTCTTCTAGCTTTCGCTGTGACTGTGCTGCGCCTTCTACGCAGGCCTGGCGTTTTTTTTTTTTCGTTCTGAAATTTCTGGCATGAAGTCATTAACATACTATAAGGTAGTCTGCACTTTACCTATGTATATGCAGTATTTATTCACATATTTATTGACTGGTTTATATGGGAAACTAATAAAAAATAAAGTATTGATACAGTTTGCAGCCACCTCTTTAATTCTTGGACTCCACACGCTGCCGATACCATGTAATTGGCTTCTGTACATGTAAGCACAAACTGATATGCACAATATCCTTTACCATGACATGAGGTTACTACAGACCCATAGTAATAATATCACCATTGCTCTTCCATTACCAGAAACCCGCATCGAGCTGCTACCAATAATTGCACTTATGATAGCTTTAGACTACTTTTCTGGGCTACGCCAGAGTAGCATCAGGAGAGTTTCAAATATGCCAAGCAATTGACTGAGAATTCTGCAAGGAGCCATTAGCTCAACTTGTTACATTACACACACATGAAACAAAAATTTCGAAGGATATGAGCATGAGCATTTAAACGCAATAAATAAACGAAACATGTTCGTGCTAATAACAAGACTACACTACAGTGAATGACACTAACAACCCTAATTCAGGCATAATTCCTCATCGTCACCAGCTACAACATGAACAATTCGCACGAAATTCCTTGCAAGTGTTTAGCGGATACCACGCTTCTCAGAAAATTAACGAAAAATAGCATAGCGAATGTCGGCCTACTACCCAAAAAATTATTATATAGTGAATATCAAGCAAGTGGGCTTGCAGTGTTTACCCAATGAGTGTTTTGAAAAGGTTCTGAAACACCGCTATTCTAGCTTTCGCTTTGACTGTGCTGTGCCTTCCGCGCAGGGCTGGCGCTTTTTAAATGCAAAGCATTTCTTAGTGAACTTCGGCGACTTTGAGCGTATCTATCTATCTATCTATCTATCTATCTATCTATCTATCTATCTATTCTATCTATCTATCTATCTATCTATCTATCTATCTATCTATCTATCTATCTATCTATCTATCTATCTATCTATCTATCTATCTATCTATCTATCTATCTATCATTCTATCTATCTATCTATCTATCTATCTATCTATCTATCTATCTATCTATCTATCTATCTATCTATCTATCTATCTATCTATCTATCTATCTATCTATCTATCTATCTATCTATCTATCTATCTATCTATCTATCTATCTATCTATCTATCTATCTATCTATCTATCTATCTATCTATCTATCTATCTATCTATCTATCCGCTTAAGTCTTTGTGCTCTCCTGGTGATCCCCCTAACTTGGCGTGAACCAAAATTAGCGTGGGATAGTAAGATGGTTTGACAAGTATGATGTGCTAGTCAAGGTATGAATAATGTCACAATCTCGTCGCTTACATTGTCAAACACTTCCCGCCAGACAGTGGCACATACCCACAGGCGGGTATGTGCCACAGGTGATTGACACTTAGTATCTACCCAGGAATGACACGAACACACATGAGCAAATATAGCGTGCGAGCGTTAAGAAATACCCGACCTTGGTAGTGTCGACCAAACGAATGCAAATAATAAATATAAGGGTCCCAGCTAGAATCGAACTCAAGTATTCTGCGTGGCAATGAAGTATTTCACCACAAAGCTACGCCAGGTTTCTGACTTACTTTTCGAATAGGCGCTAATTTTCGTCAAACGTCAATAGTGGGGGCAGTGCTGCCTACCGAATTTTATAAACATTACATAGGTACTAATTCGATACAGCCATCACGTCGGGTTAACGTCAATGGTGGTTAATTGCAATGCGCTGAAGTTTATTTATGCAGTAGTTCCCAGGGCCAAAATCCTCGCGAGCATCAGCGCTTCATATCAGCTTCTAGTGTTGCTGATACGCATGTTCAAGTTGGCATTGTTGCGCAAGTGCAAACAGCTGGCTATAAAGGCATCTGCAACTCTTCAACATATGTATGTGCGTGCAACATTTATACATATATTTAGTGTCATTTCGTGGCGTGGCGCTAATAAAAAATTGTAACATGGTCACCTAGCTTCCCTCCGCATGCTTCGCATAACGTCGATTCCCAGGTATGTGGGATCTGCCATTTTTTTTCTTCGGAAATTTCTTACACGAAGTCATTAGCATACTATAATGTAGTCTTCTGTGTAGCAACTACACCGCATGCCAGTGCTGCACTTCACTTAGGTATATGCAGTATTTATTCACGTTTTATTGACTGATTTATATGCGGAAATAACAACAAAAAAGTATCAATATAATGTGTGGCCCCATCTTTAATTATTACACTCCACACGCTCTCCTTACCACGTCATTGGCTTCTGTATGTCTGAAAAAAAAAACTAATATGCACAATATCCTTCACCATGGTATGAGGTTACAACAGCCCATTAGGAATATTATCTCCATTGCTCTTCCATTACCAGTAACCCGCATGAAGCCACTACCAATAATTTCACCTGTGATAGCATAGGACAATTATATCGCTTTTCTAGGCTACGGCAAAGTAGCATTAGGAGAGTTTCAAATATGTCAAGCAGCTGACTGAGATTGCTGCAAGGCAGCATTAGCTCAACTTGTTACATTACACACACATGAAACAAAATTTTCGAGGGATATGAGCGTGAGAATTTAAACAGAAGAAATAAACGAAGCATGTTCGTGGTAGAAACAATACTACACTACAGTCGATGACACTAACCACCCAAAACAGGTGACTCAGCGCGTTTGTTCTTTCCTTCTTTGCGTGTCAAGTTTAAGCGTTTTTTTAATTATGTGCACGTACCAGCAAGCCCGCTGAACCACAATTTTTAGCTGTCGGTAACCTATGTATCAGCCCCATCACATCAAGAAGCGTGGTGGAAACCCTAATGAAGATTAAAAACATATAAACTTAATCGTGCAGGCATGGGTTCTTAAGAAGAAACAGGACAGGGAAACGGGTTTAAATACATGGCTGATTCGTCTTTTTAGTAGTCGGTATAGCAAGAAAGTGAAACGTGTCTTCCCAGAGGTATTTGATCGTTTATTGGGCATTGTTTGGCCACAAGGCCGAAGGAATCATTGTACAGCAACAAA